GTCACTGTTCCCCCGAGCACCTCCAGAAGTGACCAGGAATAACGGTCACAAGCTGGCAGAGGGTAGGTTTAGGTTAGACATCAGGCGGCGCTACTTCACGGTCAGGGCGGCTAGGGTCTGGAACCAACTTCCAAGAGAGGTGGTGCAGGCTCCTACCCTGGGGGTTTTTAAGAGGAGGTTGGATGACCACCTTATTGGGGTCATTTGACCCCAGTGCTCTTCCTGCCATGGCAGGGGGTCGGACTAGATGATCTGCTCAGGTCGCTTCCGACCCTAGAAACTATGAAACAGGACTGTCCCAGTGAAAACAAGAGTGGTCTGTCTTGTGCTGCCGCCTCCTTCCCTGCTCCTTCCCAACTAGCTGGGGTTTTCAAACTTTTGATCCCATGGGCCAGATGAGTGGTGCAGGTCAAGTCTGAGGGCCAGATCAGTCCTTGGCCAGCACTGCCCCTCCTTGTTCACAGCAAGATTGTGTCTCAGAGGGTTGGTACCTTCCCCTCCTGATCTCACATGGCAGAATTGGGTCCCATAGGGGCTGGCACTTCCCGCTTTCAGCCCTCTACACTGGGAACTGGGATTGGGTCCTGGGGATTAGGTGCTGTCCCCTTCCAGGCCCCCACACTGGGATTGGGGCCTGAGGCCTGGCCCCACTGTTGCCAGGCCTTGCATGCTGAGATTGAACACTGGATCCAGCACACACGGCTTGGGGCTTCCCATGCATCCAGAGATTTGGCAGCAGGGGAGCAGTGCCACTGTCCTTTTGCCCCCAAATTTATGGACCCATGGGGAGCCCCATGGACTGGATGACATGGTACTCTGGGCAAGATCTGTCCCACAGGCTGGAGGTTGGGTACCTCTTCTCTAGCATGCTCAGCTGAGACCAAACCTTTGAGATGGTTGAACAGGGTGCCCCACTTTGAAACTAGGGAAATATGGTCATGCTAATTAAGGAATCGCTGCTAGGGTAGAAAACCAAGGAAGAAGCCTCCTTGTGTCCTTGTTCACCTGTTTTTCCACATGATCAAGAAGCAGACTGGCCATTTAGTCTGCCAAGCTGCTACCTCATAGCAAAGGCGGGGAACATTTTTCATAATACTGTATTGCCATGGCTGAACAAGGCACAATTTTTACAAAGTATGTTAAAGGTGTTACAGATAGGCAGTCAGAAGTTGGTAAATGGCAAGGCTGAATGTGCAGTCTCACCTATGCCTTCTTATGTGAGAAATAAGGAAAAAGACTGGGTGGGAGGAGTACAGAGGGACCTCCCTGAAACTTGGTCAGTTTGCAGAATAATTCAGTTTTAACTAGTTTCACAGGTGATAGACTTCGGGTAGTTGCCTACTGGTTTTTGTACATAAAAACATTGTCAACACTTTCAAAATCTGCTATTGCCTTAAAGTCCACAACTTGAAGTGTACTTTCTTTATTAAGAATATCATTTGATTTGAGCATAAATATAAAACATTTCAAGTCATGAAGAGGCTTTGTGACAATAAATGAGGGGATAAAAGCAGATAAGAATTTTAAAATTGGAAGTTGCTGTTGTGTGTCTTTAATAAAAACTAGTTGAAACAAACATTGGCACATAGGGACAAAAGTAGCGAGCACATCACGAATGCACAACATTGATTGTGTTTTTCTCTCTAGCAGCATCTTGCAGCATTTTTACGTTTCATTTGTACTATTATGGACCCATTTTCCTGCAATGGTTCAGATTTCCTGGAGTTGGACGCATTAGCTTTTGTAAGACATGCTTATGCTTATGCTTAAGGGAAACCTTTGAAAAATGAGACGTAAGAAACTAACTAAATGCTCATCCCGTTTTGAACGGGCATCTCCGATTCTCATGCCTTAGTTTCCTTATACAGTTCATTTTTAAATCTAACAATGTGTGAACTTATCTTAGCAAACAGGGTCTCCTATAAGTATTTAATGACCATTTGTAGAAAAATATGTGCCGACCAGGAAAGTTCAGTTGTCCCTGTGGTGCCAGGCCTGTTCTCTGTCCATTTATGAAATTAGTTGAGAGTAAGACTTGGAGCTAATTACTTGACAGTTATTGCTCGAGTAGGTATGGTCCTGGGCCCTGATCTGGTAATGAGCTCCACGTGGCTGGATCCTCGTTGTTTTAGTGAGCTCCTTATGCCCAGATGGAGTCCTTTGCAGGAATAGGTCCTAGAGTGTTAATTTAAAATTGCTTTTGTTTTACCTGTTATTTAAGGAAGGTACGTTTTGTGTTTTGCACACATTTAGCGCACAACTTCCTTGAGAAGATGTTGATGTGAACTCTATGGCTAACCTCCATAGTGCAGCTTTACAAAGCTTAATATTTAATGTTATGAGCATCTGCATTTTACTGTAATGAGTACTAGATAAAGATGTTTTTACTTAATTTCTTTAAATGTCTTGGGTGAGGATGCCGAATAAAGTTAATCTGATTTAAAAGGAATAAATATTGGGCTATAAACAGTGGTCCTTTGCATCTAGACTAGTTTATTGAATACAAGAATAATTTACTAGTTTCCAAATATTCTTTATTGTAACTATAGATTTTTCCAGGTTTCTGTACCTTTGATTTTTTTCTTCAGTAGAATTTGAATGTAGAGGTTAATTTGCATCATAACCGATTAAACAAAACGCATGCAATTTTATTTAGGAAATTTCATTCTATCATTGGCTATTATAAATGTAATTGATATTATAGGTCACTAAGTATACGGATGCATTAACAGTGGATAACCGTATTCCCAACAGATTTTTCTAACAGTGATCTGGTAAAAACAAATGGACAAAACTGGGACACGGAGCATTGTAAGTAAGTAGAGGGTGAGACAGATTTTCCTAAACTAAAATGAATCAACGGGCATCTGAATTGTCACTAAAATGTGCACTTCTTTTCTACCACTGCAAAGATTCATTCCATGTCCACTGATCTATGTTCCATGTAGAAACTATCGCCGGAGGCAAGTTGAGGCTTTTCCTTCCGGAAGTTTATGCAGCTCCTTCCTGCCTGTTTTTTGTTTTCTCCTATTTAAGGGCATCTCTTATTACATCAGCAAGTTTTGCTTGTAAGCAGACAGTTTGGTGAGCATTTCATATTTATAAATGTAAATTGTTCCCTCTCAAAGCTTGCTGTTATTTCACCAGAATAATATGTGGAGCGTTTTATTTAATAATATTAATATCCTGTTCTTATTTTTGCATTTTAAGAGTGTTTTGGTTTGGTGGGTGGGCATTGCCAGTTCAGTAACTTCTGTGTGTTCAGAGAACCTTGAAGTTCAGTTTTGAAATCTGCAGTGAGACAATTTTTAAAGATTTCTTGTTGTAGATGTTTCCTCCTTCAATATTAAACTTTTATCCGCTTTTAAAACAACATCGATTATAAGCCTAAACAAACAAAATATTAGGATCTCTGTGATACCTACTGTATTTGCGAGCACTACATTGATTAACCTTTGGCTTCCTTCTAATATGCAGTGAAACAAAGAGACCGTCTGCCCTGGCACACGCTTTCAGTCTGCTCCTGTTCCTGTCCTTCTGGAGGAAGTCCAAGGTTCACAGGGGCTTCTTCCACAATAAATGTGTTAATACTTCATTCACCATTGCCCTCTTCCTTGTTAAGCTCTGCTTCTTCTCTCTGCAATGGTCTGCTCTGATATTCTTCATCTTTCTTACCTTGGGTTCTTTCTCAGTAATTACCCCGCCCTAAATTTTCCTCTTCCACGCTGATTATTCTACTAGTAAGTGTCCATTCTCTTCTCATTCTTTCTTCCCTGAGTTGCATCCCTTCTTGATTTTTCCCTGTTCAGGCTTTTCCTGTCCTGTTTCTGCTGTTGTCTTTTTTTTCAGAACTTGCCCCTGACTCTTAAGGGGGCCCACTCACAATCCGGGATCTAGAGGACAAAGCTGTTTACTGGACATCTGAAAGACAGGCGACAGGAATGAAGCCAGATAAAAATGTTATGTGTATTTGCTTTTATAATTAGTGATGAATCCCCTTGCTTGTCTCGCCTTTGGGACCTCATTTGTAGTACTATCTAACTCTTCAGGGTAGTGACTTTGTCATTTCAGCTATCTGTAAAGCACCTGGCAGACAGATGTTGCTGCACAAATTGTAGTAATCAAAGGCATACCCTGTCAATCTAAATTTGACTGTCGCTCAGCTCTCTTTAGGCATTATTCGAGCCATCAGTAAGCATAATTTGTATGACTTATCATATCTGACATTTTATTTGGTTAATTAAATGTTTAAATAATGTTCCTTGTAATAGATTTTGGCTAAGCTTTAAGATAAGAAGAATGGGACACGGGGTGTATAAGCCAACAAAACTCTCTTCAGGGAAAGACTGGGCCTGAAAATGTCTTCCCAGAAAAGTTGAAGGTTTCAGAAAAATGAGGAACTAAAACTAGTAGTTATAACAGAATCATTTATGCAATAGTAGTTCAACACCTTTGTGCCTGCTACAATAATTACACCTATCACTGAACAGTGTAATGTCTTCATTACAAACTAGTCAGTGTAGTCTTTATCCCTCAATTAGGTGAGTGAAGAATAATCCTGTTAATGAACTCTGTGCCTAAGGAGGCTGATTTTTGCTTTGCCTATAGCATGCCTGGCAGCTAAAGGGGTGCTTTAGATAATTTGTTGCAGCAGAAAGGTGGCTAGGCTACTTGGACTATTCAGTATTTTTCTTATGTTAAATTTCTTTTTCTTACAGATATTTCAAGACTTTCCTTTCCAGCAGGTAAGCCTTTGTCTGCTATTTATATTTTACTGTGATAAACAACAACTTTTAGTTGCGTCTTTGGGATATCTTGTATATAATCAAAGTTCCTAGTTTGATACCTATCCAGGTGAGGACCAAGACCAGTGCTATGGTCAAAACAAGTGGTACAGCGAATTTATAGCCTAACAAAGGATATTTTGACATGTGAGTGGGGAATTGTGATGATTGTATGCGATTTACTTCTATTTTTATAATGACCTAGAACAAAGTAGAGGATGCACAGCGAACTTCTAGAGCAGCAAACAAGTAGGCACTCAAAGCTAGCACTATGGATTAAGGCAGAGGGCAGCCTTCAAGGAAACAAGAATGAATAAGTACAAATGGTTAGTGCTGTGAAGAATCTTTATAGGCAGGAATGGGAGAAATGAGCAGCAGATAAATTAACTTGTGCAAAGTCCTAAGGAAATAGAACCCATGTCCTTGCCAGGTCTTGTGACCTTACTGCTAGGGATGTTATAAATTATTCCTGTTTTAAAAATGGTATTGATTACTGTTGTAACCTTGTTTGAAATCAGTTAGGTCTTGACTTTGCAGATTGTCTCAGTAGTAATTGTGAGGAAACTTTGAAGTACAACTTAATGAGGGCCTCCAGTGCTGGCCTGCATGTTCAAAATAGATTATTCTTTTTCTGACTTTACAACGTTTAAAAAATGTACCTGTTTAGCATAATGTGTGTCTGTGACTGCCTTTGTCATTTAATAGACCATGACATTTCTGTTAGTAAGAATGAACCCAAGCCATGCTTAAAATCTGAACAAAGTGCAACCAAGTGAGTTTGGACTTGGATGTGCTGTGTCAGACCTATTGACATTTGATAGCCTTCGACTGTTTTGCTTAAATATCTATACTGTTTTCAGTTGTAACATCAGAGGAACTGAATCCTTTACTACAGGAGTCTCAAACTAATCCTGTGGTGGAAATGGGGCTTCTTGAGGGCCAGATTCAAACCTGGTGGCAGCACGGTGGGTGCTTGTTGCCAAAGCACTCCCCCTCCAAGCAACCAGTCCCCATAGCTTTGAATTCTGCAGCAAGTATTGGACTCTCTGGGAGTCCCATGAGCCAGATCCAGCCCACAACCTTTTTTTGGACACCCTTGCTTTACTACAAAGCATGTTTTATATTTATCCAGGCCAGATCAAATGGCTCAGTAGACCAGGTCCAGTGTGCAAGCTGCAGGTTGCCAACCACTGAGTTGGTGGATTTTTCCTTTCTGTTACCCTGGATTTCAAAGTTTTGTGAGTGTTATTTTGAGGAAGTGGGGACAAATACATACCAGTAGGGAACTCAGTACATGGTGTTAAGACGGGCTTGAACATCTTGGCTGTTTGATTTACCTCATATTGACCAGAAGGTGATTTTGGGTCATGGTGGTGTGGCAGAGCAAGATTAGAGGTGCTAAGTACACTCATAGTAAAGGGGAGATGGAAAACGGAGGGGAGAGAATTGCAGACCACACACACGGTGTGTTTGTGAAAAAAATAAAGGAAACTTCAGTTTTCTCCTTTTCATAATAAAGAACATGCAGTTAAGTCCCATTTCTGAAGACTGAGCACCGTTGGACTTTTAGGGAGAAGAATGAGGAGATTGCCTTCTTGATGGGGATAATGCTGCCTTCTAGTGTGATGGACAGCAAATAAGGAAAGGTACACTCAACTCCCATGATTCCATTAAATTCAGATAACTTTGGAAAATCTTGCAGAAGAACTGCAAAGCTAGAAACAGAACACCTTGAACTGAAAATAGAATTAAGTTTCAGGTTTTCAAGGGTGACAGTATAAGAAAAAATAAGATTGCTATATATATTATCTTTAATGTGACAGTAACTCATTTAAAGTTGACTGCAGCGGGCAGTAGAAATGTTCTGGCTTCTTGCAGTGTGTTCCCCTTGGTGCTGTAGATTTGCATTACAATGCATCATGTTTCTGCAGTATCTGAAGACTGTAGTAGCAACAAGGACATTTCCAGTGGTCTCCGCTGTAGTGTGTAGTTCCTCTTGTAGTCAGTGGCACACAAAGGTCATCCAGAACATTTCCTTTTCACTTTGATTTCATAGTAAAACCTTTTTGTAAGAATGATTGAGTGTGTGCTGTTGAATGTATTAGTTGATTAGGTAGTTTTGTTAAACCATCACACAAGGGAGTTATCCTACATTTCTCTAATCTGTATCACTTCTTTGAAGTCTTTGTGCAGCTTACTTTTCTGTTCCTTTTAATTGAGGCCAAGACTGTGAGTATTGCACATTTTAGAGTGCAAATCAGTGGAGGATTTGAGGGCAACATACTACATTTTTATCATTTCAAAGCTGCCCAGAAGAGAACACCCAATGCATTTAACCATATGTAAGGTTGCTTTAATAAGCAAGCTTGTTTATAGCACGCTTGGGGAAGTGGAGAGTTTCTTTTGGGGCATGCAGTGTCCCTTAAAATGTGAGCACTGTCTGGATTAAAAATGATTAGTCAATAGATGAAATGTGGTTTTGCCTCTTCCGTTGCTTAAAACAAACTTGGTGCATGATAGTTTTTTACTTTTTTTTTATACATATTTTATCATTCTTTACTCAGCTTTAGCATAATGGGAACTTTTGATCATGATGTTTTATTACAAATAACTAATACTAAAAGCTAGAATATCAAGCAGTTTTTAAAAAGCAGATGTATGTATGTAAAGTATTCGTACAATGTAACAGGGTAACTCGAGGAAAGGAGAGAGGATATGAAAAGGGTTCAACCAAGTAACATGTTTACCTGAATCCACAATGCCTTTGAATTTAAGATGACCCCCAATAATGAAGTTAGTCTCTACCATGACCACCACCAGGGAAAACAGCAGCAGAGGGGCAGGCAGTGGAGTTGAGCAGCAGGACCCCCTGTCCCTTGTCCCATGCCTGCACTTCCCCCCCTTGTACTTTGTCCCCTGTCACTTGCTCCCTGACCTCCCCGCTGGTACCTGCACCCCTGCCATAGTCAGAGATGCAGTACTTTTGCTCCCAGCCAGAGCTACCACCATTGCTTCTTCCCTGGGCTGGGTAACAGCCACTGTGTCCTCTGTGCCCTAGGCTGGAGTGGAGTCAAAGCTAGAGCGGCAAGTGGCAAGGGGGAAGAGGGCTTGCAGCTTCAATTGTGACCCTGAGCCCAGGTCAGGGCTGGAGCCACAGCTGCCTGCCCCCCTGCTTTGTCCTGGAACCCAAGACGAGAGACTTTTTTTTCCTCTTGTTGAATAGGGAAAAGACTTTGTCTTGGATTCAAGTAAAGATGGTGTATGCTGACCTCTGAGTCAGAAATATCACAGACATCCTCACAGAACAAGACCAGAAGATGGTGTGCCATTAAGAAGGACAGAAGCTGTTCTCAAGGCGAATGGAGTAGAATGGCATTTCTCTTGGTGTGAAGTAATAAAAGTCAATCCAGAGAAAATCACGCTTGCTTTGATTCAATATAGTGTGGTATATTTAGAAGTAACTGCCATTTTTAAGTGTACTGCACATAACTTGGCTGAACAGAAGAAAGAGCTGGTAGAATTCCTTTCAGTTATCTTAAAATATCAAACAGGACTTGTAATTAGTTCAAGCTTCCAGTGCTTAATTAGGACTAAAGAAATCAGAAGCAGCACACCTTCAACTTAGCCTTAAGGAAGATTTGCTTCCTACATTATGAATGCATCGGAGTCTGTTCTTCCTCGAGAACTACTTCTGCCTTGACATCGTCAGGAAATCAGCCAACTGTAGACATCCGCTTACCTAAAAATTCATCATCCGTGCATCCTTTTACCTAAACAGCCCTTCTCCCTCATAGCTCATGCGTACAACTTGGTGTGTGGTTCTAAGGCTGCATATATATATATAATTATGTTACTGATGTAACCCCATCTTTCCTACTTGAACTCTAGCATAACAAACACAAGAGTTGTGGATAAATATGTCAGACCCAGGTAGAAGATAGACTATAAAATTAAAATAACATTTTAAACTGATCAAAAGAAATACTTTTTCACACAGCTCGGCTGTTGGCTATGAAATGTGCTGATACAGGAAGCTGTAGAGGCCAGGAACTTGGCATGGTTTGCAAAAGGTATGGACCTCATGCATAACCAGAGTCGTCATAATTAATGTTAATTAAACGTGAGGAGAAGGGATGGCAAATCTGATATTTCAGGGTTTAACCCCATCTCTTAACTATTTGAGCTCAGGATGGATTGTAATGTGTACGTATGACAGGACAGATTATTTAACTGTCTGCTTTTCACCTTAACCCTGAAGCATTTGGTCACATTTCTAAACTAAATATTGGTTATGTGACCCCAGGTATGATCCAGTGTGATGTTTCTTATCTTCCTTCTGTAGAAATAGAAGAATTACTCAAATTTATGACATTACCTAGCTTTATACTACTGAGAGGGCAGGGAACAGCTGAATGTATGACTCAATAGCCTGCTTAGAAATATGCATTATAATTAACATCTTTATTTAAAGTGTCACAGTAAGAAAGCATAATGTAACCATATATGTAGGCAGAAAAAATAAAGGTATTAAGTACTGGCTCTGAATCTTTTTGCCAGCTGTAGTTTTAAATTAACATTTCCCTGTTTACATACTTTCTCTCTTTTTGCTATGTGCAAGGCCACCCATACAGGGAGTAATTGCTGAACAGGGAAGGTAGCGAAAAAGACTGTGCACAAACATTTTCAAACATCCTGCTGAAAGTTAGTGTAAATTAAACAAGACTTTCAAAGGTGCCTTGGAGTCAAGGTGATTTCCAGTGCACAAAGTAAATTCTGTTTTCAGAAATGTTAAAAAGCGCTGTTTTAATTGTAGTTCTAAAGTTTTATAGCTTATTTATGTGATGTTTCCTTGCATTTATTAGTCAAAGTAATTAGTATCTGTAAATGAGAGATTACTGAGTTAAAAGATTTTTCAGTGTGTGTAAGATGAAAGTTAGGAGATGGCCTGCCAACCTGTATGC